ATTTGTTGCACATAATTAAAGTGGTTCTAAATAACATATGTGTTAGTGTTTGTATTGGCTCTGTATTCTGGTCCTCTTCCAGAATTCCTCTCAATTGTGGAGTTTCGCAGGGATCAATCCTTGGGCCTATGTATTATTCACCATGCTCCTTTTGGCTTTCTTTCTTTCTTTCTTTCTTTCTTTCTTTCTTTCTTTCTTTCTTTCTTTCTTTCTTTCTTTCTTTCTTTCTTTCTTTTAAAGAGGGAACAATAAAAATTGCAAACAACCTCTCTTTGCCTACTTAAATACAGTTATATTCTGGTTCTCATGCATTTAAAAAAAAAGAAAATAAAAAAAAATAAATAAATAATGCTATTTGGGCAGAAATAAACTGTGTGCTACAGTAGATGTTAATTATTTGGCTTGTCATGCATCTAAGTATGTAAAACAGCTCTACAGTATATTACAACAACAATTATTTACAAACATTTATTGAAACTATAGTTTACATTACTGTTTTATAGATTAGTGTTTTAAATGTCAATGTGCAGAGTACAGTACAAAAAATAAATAAAAAACAACAACTGACAAATTATGGACCTTTGGCAGTAAGAGTGGGACATAGATACATACGTGCTAGAGCAGGGGTGTCCAAACTCGGTCCTGAAGGGCCGGTGTCCTGCATAGTTTAGTTCCAACTTCCTTCAACACACATCCCTGGAAGTTTCAGTATGCCTAGAAAGAGCTTGATTAGCTGTGTTTAATTGGGGTTAGAACTAAATTATGAAGGATACCGGCCCTCCAGGACCGAGTTTGGACACCCCTGTTCTAGAGAATCCTTTCAGCAGACCAGTGCTGTTGTATTGGCATTTCATTTACTGCAAACTCTGGAGTTTCCCCTTGCTGTATCACTGATCAAATAATTATTACAAATGTGTGCTTGTAGTTGTGTAAAATAATGTGTGTTTTCGATATAGTTAATTGTTTTGTAAAGCAGTGTGGCTTTCGGTTTAGTCTGTTACCTCAGATTTAAGCTAATTAATTGGGATGCAATTCAAATGGCACGAGACACAGACTCAAGCAATGTTGCCATGCTTGAAGCTTGGAAGTAGAATATAATTAATGTTAGTCTCCATGTGCACAGATGGAGGGACTGCGAACGGCCCCTGAGTCTGCTTGAAACCGTGGTCAGGCCGAGCTTCACTGTTCACTTAAGATGTGATTTCATTCGCACCAAATCACAGAAATACCGCACATATGAATTGGCCAAGCACTGTATATTTGCTTTTAATCACTCGCTTTTCTGACACACATGGGCCTACTATAAATGACGAGCAGCAAATCTGATTTCTCATTTAAATATATAATTCCAAATCATATATTTAAAACACAAGTTAATGTTTAGACTAAATAGAGCAACATATTTCAAAATGTACACTCAAAAAATCAACTAGGCATGTATTGGATTTACAAAATAAAAATTTGTCAGATTGAAAAGAACAAATCAAGTTTGTTAAATGATTAATTCATGTTATTTGAAACTGAATCAAGAAATAATCAAATGAATTTGAACATGTTGATTCAATAAGACTGAGACGCTTCAAATCGACAACTCTCACTCTGGAGAGTCACTTCGCGCATATCAGTAGGTGGCGGTAGTGCGTTTGGATGTCACCATACGAAAACAACAACAAGAAGTATCACCGCTTGTTTTCGGCACAGTTTGGGAATTGGTTTTCCCAAGAGCTTGAATGTTATGCATGTTATGTTGCTGGCTACATGTTTCCTATACATTTTATACTTTTACATTTTGAATAGGAGTACCAAAGTGAAGAAAGCTGTTTAAACTCAATTGGTAAAAAAAAAAAAATGATGTTAACGTCCTACAGGTATTGCTTGGGGATCAGTTTTCTTAAGAGCCAAGGTTATTTTGTTGGCTAAATGTTTCTTATACATTTTATCCGGGTGCTCCGGTTTCCCCCACAGTCTAAAGACATGTGGTACAGGTGAATTGGGTAAGCTAAATTGTCCGTAGTGTATGAGTGTGTGTGTGAATGTTTCCCAGATAGGTTGCTGCTGGAAGGGCATCCGCTGCGTAAAAAAAAAACTTGCTGGATAAGTTGGTGGTTCATTCTGCTGTGGCGACCCCGGATTAATAAAGGGACTAAGCCGACAAGAAAATGAATGAATGAATTTAAACAACAATATTGAACAAGAAATTTACTAGCTGATTTAACAAGACATAATTTTGGTAAAGTAAAGCTTTAGTGTTACATTGAGTAAATTAGAATAATTTTAATTAGAATAACACAATACAAACATTTTGAGTCAATTAGTTGCAAAGAAGTTAGATTGACATATTGAAACCATGTTTTATCTACAAATGTGCATTGTGTTCATACAACATGTTCAAAGCAGTTCAGATTTACTTGATTGGATTAGATGCAAAAAGGGTGCCACGATTAAATCATGTTCATTCAACAATTTTTTTTTTGAAGTGTATTATAAATTGTATATATCTAAATATGACATACAGTATACAGTAGCCTACTCATTAGGTCTAAGCAACATTTGCTGATTTTGATGAATAAGCTACTATACATTAATACTTTACAAGAACAGCAGTTTTCTTTTGACTTTTTAAGCACATTATCATTTTTAACCTTTAAAAGCACATTTTAATTTAAATGGTGAAGTTTTTGTCTGCAAGCACAGTTAATGTTTAAACTATTTATAATGTTTAAAGTGGCTGACAATAATACATATTCTTAGTAACAGTAATTAATTTGCCTCATTTTTAAACTGTGCAGTGCTGTAGCTGTTTAATTAGGCTTACTATGCTACTGTATTTCAATACCGGTTGTTATGGTGGTACTTGGAGAGACCTTTTTTTTCAAAGGTGGTACTTGGTTGGAAAAAGTTTGAGAACCACTGTATAGGTGATGACATTATTTTTTTTTTCTGTGTTTGTATATGGAAAAAAAACATTCAACACAATGCAATTCCTTTTTTCCCATCACTTCATAACTTTTGATATTTTGAGCATGATGATAACTTTCCATATGGACCAAAGCCCAAAGTGTCTTCTTTCCAGTAACACCTAGTTTGTGTTTGTAGATTACTGCGGTCAAGAACTATAAAGTTAGGTGGGTGTAAATCCCCAAATGTGAGTGCTGGCTAACAGGTTAACTGATTTGTTGTATTTGAAAACAACACCAAACAGGACTGAAAAAAAACTGGCCAACAGCATTATAACTAATGCTGCAATGATTAGTTATTAGTCCAAAAATTCAAAATGAATGTCCAATAATAAATCACAATAACAATAAATAAAAAAATAAATGAAAAGAATTATTTCCCTCTTGCTGTCCTGCATGTGCTGCTATATATTAAGAAATAAATACTGTTTTCTGATACAAAATAGTTTTCAATTTGTATTCTGCTACAAATTGTCGTACAGGGGTGCATTTTTACAAACCATAATTAGCCAACTAAGGTTGCAAACATAGTTTGTTGATTTGATGTTTTCCAAATTTATCGTTCCAATGAACATTCGAAAACTGTGTCGCAAATTTCGTTGTTGTAGTTGTTGTAGTTAGAAACATTTCTAGCTGTGTTCTATTCCTTGTTATCCCCCATGCCTTATGCATTTAGAACATTTTTACATTTACCCTTGGAATGATTAAAAATAAAAAAGCATTAAAGGCATCTCTCTTAGGTGTAATTTGCTTTCAAAGTGTTTTTACAATTCAGTTTTAGCAATCTTCATGTTTACACTTGCGCTCCCTTCGCAGTACACTTTGAAAACTTTGATGCCATTTGAACCACTATCATGGCTCATGGTGAAAGCTAAGATGACCTATTATTTAAAAGCCAAATTTATGTTATGTCTCTAAAGCTTGTGAGAAAAAAAAAGAGCACATTTAGCATTTCTGCAGTGGTTTACATGTGTCAAGTTGTAAAAGTAGAAAAAATTAAATAAATAAATAAATAATATCCTATTTACTAATAATAATAGTAACTATAATAATAATAATAATAACAATAATCATAATCGTCATCATCGTTAATATTATTAATATCTTTATTACTATCATAAGTATGATTTTTTTTCATTTCCTAATAAATAATACATATTAATTTTCTATGGACTATTCTCAATAGTATTTGTAAAGGAAACATTGGGCCTATATGAGCCGTTTACTTATATTTCAGTTAAAATAGAAAACAAGTGCATTCTACTAAAACTAATATTGGATTTTTTTTTTTTTTTTTTATGTGTGTGTTTGTAAAACTATATAATTTGCACATTGACATAATGGGGTTCTGTTCCAAAGAAGTTGTTGCCACCCCGTTAAGAGCATCATTACAGGCATTTTACATAACTAATGTGGTTTAAACTATGGATTAGCAACAGAGAAACTTTGGGTTTTGGGAAACACATAACTACATCGTTATTTTCCCAAACAATGCATCATACTATGATTGTTCATCCACGTCGTTGTTTGGAAAACTAAACTAAATGGAAAATTAATATGGTTATGCATTTCAAGAGGGATTCTGTTATTATTTATAAGTTTTGGTTTTGTATTGTATTCATAATGACCTGGGCACACGCGGTCTGAAAACAGATTCCTGCACTTTTCATGAGCTGCAGTATGAGTGTAAACTGTGAGTATTTTGGCTATGATGTATACAGAGATTACCATTTGTGATTAGTGATTACACATATTATTATTATATGTGAATTAAGAGACTTTATGCCAGAACAGTTGACTGTGTTTACAGTGTGTCAGCAGTGACGGCTGTTAACTACCTTTAAAATAAGTGTACTGGATTTAGAAAGAATTTAATTTGGTGTCAGGTGGTTTGACTTTGGAAATTACTTATAAGAAAAGCCAATCAAATGGGTCTTCTCTTCTCTTAAACAAAAAAATTTAACTAAGGGTGGGACCATGGAAAAAAAACTGAATCTGAATGTCTCCACCCATATTCTCTGTATATATATACACAGTGTTTTGTTACTGAGAGCTAACAGATTGTCTTCATCATGACCATCATCATCATCTCTCTGCTCCTGCTGGTTTCTCTGGTGCCAGACCTGACCTACACTGGTGAGACTGACTATACAGATGATGATTTGGGCATTTGTTACAAATATTAGTTTTTAATGTACAGAGTAATTTGACTAACAACTGTTTCTATTTATTAACACCTATTTCTTTCAGCTCGTGTGGGTATAGAGGACGGCACTGAAGCTAAACCTCACTCCAGACCTTACATGGTTTCTCTTCAGATAAAAGGCTGGCATATCTGTGGTGGATCCCTCATTACTGAACAGTTTGTCTTGACTGCTGCACATTGCTGGGAAAAGTAAGAGTTTTGTTTAATGTGAACTGTGTTGTGGTAAAATCCATTTTGAATGACACATGAGCACAATCATACAGTGCATCATATGACAGTGATACAATATGCTTGTTCAACAGAGGGGATGTCATCACTGTTGTGGTTGGCGCCCATGATTTGAGTGGAAATAAAACTTACGACAGCTTTGATGTGACATCCTACATCCCACATCCCGACTATAAACAGAGTTCTTATAAGAATGACATCCTGCTTTTGAAGGTATCAACCTATTATTCTTTTATTCTTTTGAAAATCATTTACTTCAGCTTTGCATTTGGTGCTTCTGTTTTGATAAAAAACTGCAGAATTAAGTTGATTATAACTTACAATATGGGTGCAATAATAAAGATTATATAATGCTTAGCTAATGCTTGGGTCAGTTGCTGTTTCTGTGTGGAGTTTGCATGTTCTCCCTGCCTTCGCGTGGGTTTCCTCCGGGTGCTCCGGTTTCCCCCACAGTCCATGCGGTATAGGTAAATTTGGTAGGATAAAGTGTCCGTAGTGTATGAGTGTGTTTGTAAATGTGTGTGTGGATGTTTTCTCAGAGATGGGTTGCGGCTGGAAGGGCATCCACTGCGTAAAAACTTGCTGGATAAGTTGGCAGTTCATTCCGCTGTGGCGACGCCGGATTAATAAAGGGACTAAGCCGACAAGAAATGATGATAATGCTTAGCTAATGCACAGATAATCAAGAGTTAAGATATAAATCATGAAAACTAAACCATTTATTAATGATTACAGCATGTGCATCAAATGAACACTCTTTTTTATTAATATATTAAGTAATCTATAAACTGTTTACCCTGTAGTGTACAGTACATAGTAACTAATCGTGTAAATGTTGTAATTACCACAATATATCAAAATCATGCAGTTCAACTGCTTTAATTAATCATTTGCTAATTATTTGCAACTAACTACTAGCATATAACTACTTACAGTATATAAACAATTAGTTAACAGTCCTTTGCCTTAACAAGTAGTTATACAGTTATTCTACCTTTACTAATCATTGTCTAACGATTAACTAAATAAAAGCAGACAACTGAAAGTGTAATAACTACTTTGACTACAGTGTTAATTAACCCTTATATTTACATAATTAGTTCATATAATATGGTAATAGGGAATTAATACCTTACTACACATTTAACTAATAACAATTCATTCATTCATTCATTTTCCTTCGGCTTATTGCCTTATTTATCAGGAGCCACTACAGCAGAATAAATTGGCAACTATTCTGCCATATGCTTTACGCTGTAGTGCGCCTCCAGGCCCTATGGCCAATTTATAATGCCAATGCATTATTAGTTACCAATAAGTTGATAATTAACAATTGTGTTTTGCATTACAGCTAAATAAAAAAGTCACACTGAGCAACAATGTTGGACTGATATCGCTACCAAAGGAAGGAGAAAATGTTGAAGCAGATACTCTCTGTAGTGTTGCTGGCTGGGGAAGACTGTGGGTCAGAGGCCCAAGACCTGGTCATCTCAGAGAGGCAGATACAGTGATAATGACTGATGAAGAGTGTAAACGCAGATGGGAAATTAAATTTAAGGTCTCAAAGATGATCTGTGTTTATGGCCATGGAGGATCCTGCAGTGTACGTTTGACAGATGATTCAGACTCTACATTAATGTTGAAACTAATTTCACTAGTGACGAGTTGATCTCTGTTTTTTAACAGGGGGATTCAGGAGGTCCTTTGGTTTGTGGAGACACTGTTGTTGGGGTCACATCCTTCACTGACCGTTATCTCTGCAATTCACGTTTGCGTCCGAATGTGTATGCTAAGATTTCAGCATATATTCCATGGATCAAAATGATAACTGAAAATGTTTAGTGACATCTTGAAGAATGACTAAAAAAGGAAGACGTGTTTTTTCTTGAATTCTTCCATAAATCTTTCAATAAAAGATTTCATCATGATCAAGCATCAATCAGTGGTATCCTCTTTATTTTGTCACAGCCATTTAGAATTACAATATTATATGATTACAAAATGATGGCGGTCTAGACCAGCAGTTTTTCAGACTAGAGGAAAATAAATGAAATATAAAAAAAACTTCTAACAAAGGTTTGGTGCTGTTCCGCCTTCTTCAAGTTTGTCTGCTGTGTCTTTTAAGAACTGCAACATTTGAAAATCGGGTTCCTTTCTCCATATGTAAATCACTCAGTTAGCTGGATTTGGATTTTGAAGATTTGACACGATCCAAAATCGTTTAATTCTTCAAAATTCATTAGATAGGGTCAGTTCAAGCAAAGATAATACTTAAAGTATGTACCAAATGCTGATATTTTCTTATAGTAGTTATATACAAAAATATTGAATATAATTTTTTTCAATATATATATATATATATGTATATATATATATATATATATATATATATATATATATATATAGAGAGAGAGAGAGAGAGAGAGAGAGAGAGAGAGAGAGAAGTAAAAAATATTATATTAATATTTATTTTATTTTGATTAATATTTAAAAAAAAAAAAAATATATATATATATATATATATATATATATATATATATATATATATATATATATATATATATATATATATATATATATATAAAACCATAATCAAAGTACAAAGACTGCCACCTGGTGGTCCAAAGTGAAAATGTATTGATATAAGCTTTTTAGATGCAAACACGTACATGCACAATACTCGACTTTAAAAAAAAAAGCATAATAACTTATGCAGTCATACACGTGTTTTGACTGCTATTATGTTGATGACTTGATGCTTCGAAAAAGTTGCAGAAACCTTTACCTATATCAAATGGCTTTTTTGATGCAAAATGAATTTATACAGTTATTCCTTATGCCGATTAAAAAAAACTTGAGTAGGCCTTAGCTACTATAATAAAGATAATCTTCTGTAAATGTAGATCTAAATAAATAAATAAATATGCATTGAAATACATGATGAATACTCTTGACACACGAAAGTGTAAAGCTGCAGCTTACAACAAATGGGTTAAGTTATTGCGTAACATATTCAACAAACCGTTTGCTGCGAATTTGATGTAATTTTGTGCATATGGATAATTGAATATAAATCAAATGATATGATATGATATCAATCATTAGCTATGTTTCCATCCAAAAATGCGAATAAACTTTATGCGCAAAATTGGGTTATCACATAAAAGTTGTGCGAATGAAGCATCGTTTCCATCCAACGAGTCAAAGCGAACAAAATCGTCACTTCCTGATTAACTGGCGCCAAATATCAACAGTAAAAACTGCATTTGCTGCAGTAGGAGAAGCTGCGTCAATCTTTTCTAAATGAATGCGCCTCAGAAGACAATCCTGAAAAGCGCAGTGAGCGCGCAGTGGCGTTTGAAGGTGTCAGACGCGGAGCACAGGCGCTCTTGATTCTGGAGGTCATTAATATTGTAATAACTTTAATACTGAAATGGTAAGGCGTTTTATAATGACCAAAACAACATTTCAGATGTTTTATAATGTGCTCAGCCTGATCTTTTGTCCATTCACACACATTTTAAGCATCACATGATCTCTTTTAACAAAATCACATGACCTTTTTTAATGCGCATGTTGGAGTTTGTGCGGTAAAAGTGTTTCCATCGCAGTTTATGCACATCTTTTCTTATCGAATAAAAAGTTTATCCTACCCAGTTAGGCGCATAAGTTTTTTATGCGCATTTTCAAAATTTATGCGCATCATGGCGTTTCCATAAACTGTTTTTTTATGCGCATTTGCAAAAATAGGTGGATGGAAACATACACACACAGCGATCTCAGATCAGTTTATCCAGACATTTTAATCTGATTCGCGAACTTGTTTGAAGAACCAAATTAGCCAGAGACCAGTCATCAAGATTAAACGATCCGGAATCTGACAAAACATCTTAGGTTATTAAAGCGAGGTACTGTACGAAGACCCCAGGTTTGGGTTGACTGAGTAGAATTAATTAAATTTACATGGTATGCTACTGTACATGCAAGAGAAAAAAGAAGAAAGTGTCTGCTTTAAGCAGTTTTAAGCAGTTCTGTTTTAAGCGATGCTTTTATGTCAGACATCATATGTACACATGGGAGAGTGAGGAAACAAAACAGTCTATAACAGGAGTTAACTGAACTGTTACTCTTCACTTAATAATGATCATTTCCTCATATTTACTCACCCTTCAGAAACATGTACAAAAGAAAATAATTTGAAGAAAGCTGGGAACCTGTAATCATTGACTTCCTTAGTGTTTGCTTCTTCCAATAGAAATTTTGTGAAACATTCATGCCTACAGTAAGTAATGCCTAAACTTCAGCTAAAATGCTGTATTTTGCAGAGAAACTCACTTCATTGATAAATACTTTCAGATAGACACAATAAAACCTTTACAAGTATTTGGCCTAAATATATATTTAATATTATCCAATAATAATACACACGGAGTGATAAGGCGCAAGATATGTATAGTGTGAATTGTTGCTATTTCCAGACCAACACAATCCTAATTTTTACGTTTTGCACCATGTTGTTTAAATAGCTAACTCGTTTGCCCCACTTTGTGGACTCATGGGTGTGCTGGTCTAAGAAGGAAATGTATTGAGGCACATTGTTGGCCCATTGCTATTTTGAGAAACTGAAATAGACCACACCACTGATCAAGTAAAAACCGATATAAAGTCCAGTGCAGAGCATGTTAGTTATGTGCATTAAGGATGTACAGCAATACACAAATATATTTACATATGAAAAAATAAAGGATTAAAATGTAACAAAATAACAAAAAACAAACAAACAAACACTACCTCCATGCCTTCATGTCCGATTGCCTTTTTTAAGTTTATTAATGACAATTTGCATTTTAATGTTATAATTATTAGCAGTTTTATTTATTAAATTCATATTTATATTGGTTTTAATAAAAACAAGTTTAGATTTGTCCGCGTACACTGTTAGACATTTCTGTAAATTACACAGTTATTTACTGTATTTTACCCAATATAATACTGCAAATTCCTTTCACAGTAAATAACTGGATTTACTGTTGCATTATGGGAATTTAGTGTGACGTCGAACAACATATACAGCGATGTACTGTATTTGTAAAAATTCATGTATTATACTGTATTTTCCACAACTGCTTCGACGCCACCTTGCGGCGATTCGACTACTCTGCACCACATTTTGCCTGAGGACCCTGGAGCAATTCTGGAGGACAATTTATTAGCGTGCCTGACGAACATGCTGCATTTAACAAACTTTACTCTGGTAAGCTGAGGCAGTGTTTCATTTTACAGACTGTTTTGTGGACGAGAATAGAACAAAGAAATGTATAAATTTGGCTAATATTATTTTCTCTGGCTTGGAGTTATTTCGCCCATTTGAGAAATATATCATCTATTAAGATGTTTCCTTTATTTAGTTTATTACATTAACACTACTATTACTTTAAATAAGACTGTTTATGACTATTAGCCAGTGTTCTCGTCATATCTTTTTATTTATTTACATAGGAACCAGTGTTGCAGCGGGTTTTGGTTTAGGAGGGAACCAGAGGGATGCAGACAGTTTTGGAGGACATTGAGACAACGGTCCGGCGGAGAGTGTTTTCCCCCAGAAGAATATGAATGAAAGACCAACAAATAATCCAGGTAAAAGCGCGTCTGTCTGTGCTTACAACACTCGACATTGATTTGAGCACCTCTATAGCTTGGTTAGCCTTTGTTTGCTCGGCCACATTGGCTGAAGTGATCTGGTAACGTTAGCTAAACTGAGCTAAGTTTACACCAAATTCAACTCAAACTCATTTTAACGTGCAACGTTTAACTTATATAGATTTATACTGTATATATTAGCTGTTGTGAACTTATTTTTCTCTGGTTTAGAGTATAACGTTAGTTTAAGAAAATAACATCGCAACGTAACCTATAATAACGTTAACGTAAATCTATACAATATGCATAGAGGTAAAGTTGGTTTTATATTCGCACATTCGTTCATTTAGAAGTCTCATTATGTATCATGTTACTTTGACTATTCGATCAGAATTAGCATGCCAGTATGACTTTAAATCAACATTAACACTGTTTATTTGACCGTGAGCAATGTTGTACTTTGATAGTCATTGGCTGCTAATATGATTTCGCTATTTAGAGTTTGCAAATAATACTTTGCATAGTATAATTTCAATATAATACTTGAAATTATATTATTAAGGGGGAAGTCTGAATTTGCTAATATAAAACCAGCTTAACCCCTATACATTATGCTAATAACCACCTTTTTGCTATTTATTGTTTATTGTTTGCTAATTATTTTTCTTTATCCCAACTCTTGACATTTGGTTTAACATAATTGTTACCATTATTTTTTTTTCTGTTTAGATGTGGCACTGGCACAGCAGCAGGTTTTGTCTGAAGAAGAAAACAGCATTTCGAAGGAACGTCTTGATCAGCACAGCCTTATAACCACCTTAACCCCTATACATTATGCTAATAACCACCTTTTTGCTATTTATTGTTTATTGTTTGCTAATTATTTTTCTTTATCCCAACTCTTGACATTTGGTTTAACATAATTGTTACCATTATTTTTTTTTCTATTTAGATGTGGCACTGGCACAGCAGCAGGTTTTGTCTGAAGAAGAAAACAGCATTTCGGAGGAACGTCTTGATCAGCACAGCCTTATGCTTAAAAATAAGAAAGACCAGTAAGCAACCAAGGTAAACAAATAAAAAAAAAAGTTGTGTGGAGGTTGTGGATTGTAGCATGGTATTCTTATCTTTATTCTTGGCTTTTTTTATGGTCTCAAAATAGAATACTGGGGGTTTGCCTGTCCAAACTGGAACATACAACAGTAAGTACTGTACATCTATTTGTTTCTCAATATAGTAACATTACTTTTAATACAAAATGTGTCACATGTTTAGTTGCTAGCTAAATTAAAGATTT